ACCATATGAGATACCGGACGATTTTTACCCTTGACAGTCACATATATAAAACGGAGCCTAAACCCTTGGGCCAGAGTAAGAGTAATCTCTTTGTCTGATCGTCGAGTCTGACATTCCAATTCGGTCACTGTTCGGATGGTGTTCACCTGACCGTTTACATGCTATTGTAATTGGCATGCTCCTTTATCAACTTAGGTTAGCGATTTGCTCCACTTTAGATAGATTTTAGGGAAGCTGAACAATCCAGTGCCCCCATACTCATCTTGGCATAAGCTCAAGTACAAGTCATTAAAAGCCGTCTGCTTAAACAGTGTAGTACTTTCTTCACTTATGGAATTGACAGATGAGATGGGACCCAAAAGTATGCATCCAGTCAAGAATCAAGTGACAAATCAGAGTAATCAAGTGGTCAGAAAATAAAGGTGGGTGGGTCCCATTGTCACACAGGAACACCCTTTGATGCCATTTCGATTGATGAGACTAGACTTCTGTCATAATACCAGAATCCGTGTCAAGTGTCAACACCGTTAGATTTTCGGATTATGTAAAAGACAAGTTGTTACCTTGTCACTCTTTGTCTCACTTTTCAGTTTGTACGATAAATTTGACTGTTCCAGTCCAATATCTCGTTTGGCTCATTATTTGATATTATATAATTTTTGAAATAATAATTTTTTTTAGACTAAGTGATTAAAAAATATATATTTGATTTATACATAATATTATTTTATTGAAAATGTATAGTTAAAAAGAAGAGAGAGAAAAATATATTATAAATTAATTGGGGCCACACGGACTCGCATGATAAAAGAATAGTGATATTATTTAGTACCACTACTGTCAAGTATTAATAAAAATAAAAAAAATTCATGTTATTAAATAATAAATTTATTTAAATATAATATTACCTGATTCGTTTAATTGAAGTTATCAAGTGTGATTATTCTAAATATCATTATCCCTAAAATAAACGATTAATGATGGGAGTATGTTTAGCTAGCAAAGTGAGGCATAAGTATCACTTAAAGCTCTGAACTTGATTAACTAGTAGACTCATCAATGTCGATCCCGCTTGGCCCTAGTTAGATAATCGTTATTTTAAAACTCTTTATTCTATATATTAATTTTTAGCTACACATTCACATAATAAAATATTATATATGTAAATTTAATTTTTTTTATTTTTTAACCACATTTTTAAAAATTCATTATTCAAAACTTTATTTTTGTCAAATAATAACCATCGAATAGTGGCTTAATTTGAAAGAGAATTAAGCATCTCTTTTAAGCTATATATTTTAGGGTCCGTTTGATAGGTAAATGTGAAAAAAAAATTTCAATTTCATATTAGTTGAAAAATAAAAATCCACCAAACCTATATGAATTCGTTTTCCATGAAAACTAAAAAAAATATAGTTTAAAGTAGTTGTACCATGAAATTCAGTTTTCATTTCTACATTGCATTCAAACGGTCAAATATGAATTCATTTTTCTCGAATATGACATTTTTCATCGAATATATTGCAATCAAACAGGACCTTAATGTTTATACAATTAACAAGATTAATCGGGCTATTACACATGAATGGTTGAACTTGATTGTCTAGCACGATCCTCCTATTATAGCATTTAACCCGTGAAATGCCCAAGCCGACAGATTTTAACGGGTCATATTGCTTTAAGCCTAAACAATACAATCGATTTTGATACCACTATTTCAAAACAATATACCATAAATCTAGGAGATTGAAATTTTTCTAAATTCCAAATACAAGACAAACTAGATTTTATTAAGAATGAATTTGAAATTAATTATGTTATTTTCATTGTCACTCCATTGTAAAAAAAAATATAGATAAAAATGATTCTCAATGTCAATGCAATTTATAAATTGGACATAGTACATTAATACAGGGTAAATGCACATAACGTCTACACATTTTACTGTAATTGTGAAAAACATTATTGCCTTTCAATTTTTGACATTTTCACCCATATTTCACATTTCATTGTGTAAAAGATTATTTTCATCCGTTTTATCAATTAAAAATTGTGGAATGACAAATATACTCTTCTCTTTAAATAAAACAAAAAAAGAAAAAAAAATTAATTGCAATCATAGTCCAATTTTTTTTTTAAATGCTCAAATGAGTCTCCCAAATAAATTATTAAAAGGGTAATTAGCACATAATGTCAATACCTTTAACTATTATAGAGGAAAACTTCAATGCCTTTTATTTTTTTGGCATTTTCACCATTAATTACATATTTGATTGCTCAAATCATCTTTTCTATTCATTTTCATCTAATTTCTCAATAAAGAGTCGTGAAATGATGAATATATCATTCTACTTTTTTTTTAAAAGTAAATTAGAGATTTTTTTTAGTTTCTAATTTTTTAAATAATTTTTTTGGGATTCTTTTGCAGTTTTTTATTTTTTAATAAATTTAATTGAAACTCGTTTTTATTTTATTTATATAAAAAAACTAATCTCTATTTTTTAATAGTTTATTTGGGGTTTGTTTGTACTTTTTTTAAAAAATAATAATTTGTAACTCTGATTGCGATTAATTCTTTAATTTTTTTAATTTAAATATGAGGACATAGTTATCATTTCACAGCTCTTTATTAAGAAATTGGATGAAAATGGATATAAAAGATGGTTTGCGCAATCAATCAAATGTGTAATTAAAGGTGCAAATTTCAAAAAGAAGAAGAAGAAGAAGAAGAAAGAGACGTTTTTCGCAATAATAGTGACATGTAGGAACACTATGTACTATTTACCCTTTTAATAATTTATTTGAGACTTATTTGCGCTTTTCAAAATAAAAATAAAAATAGGACTATGGTTGCAATTAATTTTGTTTTTATTTTTGTTTTATTTAAAGAGAAATGTATATTCGTCATTTCACAATTTTTAATTGAGAAAATAGATGAAAATGATCTTTTACGCAATGAAAGATGGAAATAAGGGTGAAAATACCAGAAAAATGAAAGGTAAAGACGTTTTCTACAATAGCAGTGAAATGTGAGGATGTTATGTGCTAATCATCCATTAATATAATAAATCAAATATGATTAAAATAATATATAGTAGAATTTATCAATTATGTTCTAATTTTAATATTTTATGGCGTCGTAAAATTCTTGACATATTGTATTGTTGACCAAATTTTGAAGAGTAAAATATACGAAACTCTTATTATTATTATTATTATTACTGTTTTTTTCGTCGTTATTTATTTATTTATTTTTGTATATTTACGGTTGATTTTAGATTTATGCATTTAATAAAGTAGTCCCTCCAACAAAAGGCTCTGCTACGTGGTGAACTTTTATACGATTGCTAAAAAACATTACAAAGTGGATGAAAATGGCACAGCAACAAAACCAATTATAGCCAAAATTGAGTGGAGAAAGAATTTGTGAAAGTAGACATTTTCTAAAGTGCATTTACCAATAAACACATTCACAACGTGGGTGTGAGCAAAAATTCATCTTCTAAACAAAGAAATACAGAGGAGATTAAAGAGTTGAAGAAACTTATTCACAACAAATTCTAGATTTCAAAACTCGACCTCATTTCAAATATCGAATTCTTTGCCGAAATCTCGTATATTCCATAATAGCTCGGCTCCATGAAACAAAAATTCGGGATCAATATCTAATTACAAACATTGGATTTTTGATAATTTATCGAAAATTCTAGACAATTGGATAAATTTGGGTTTCCAGAATTCAAAGTTTGTCGTCTTGAAGTAAAAATTCGAGCTTTGAAACTTATTAGAAATCTCGGATTTTCTATCAAATTTTGAATTTACGTATATGATAGCAATAATTTTGCACCATTATTTCGAGGTTTGTTGATGCAAGGACAATTCTCTCTCTCCCTCCCTCCCTTATTTATTGGATGTTAAAAGTAAAAAATTATAAATCATACATAGTCAATCTTGGTGCATTTTATAGAACATAATCTAGTCCACAATATGTATAAATAAAGGGGGAAGGGTCACAACTCATCAATGATGGTCAAATCTTTGTAGCCAATCTTGATGCGATGAACTGAACATAATCTAGTCTGTTGTACGGATAAACAAATGATATTAGATCATAACTTGTAAACCTCTGTAGCCAATCTTGGTGCGTTGTATTGAACATAATCGATCTACCGTACATATACGCAAATGAGATAGGTCATACTGTCAACCGTGGTCCCAATCTTTGTTTTGAATAGTATTAAATTAAAAGAAATATAATTTATTCATTTATTATATTCGATCATATCTAGTCTAATATGAGATACAAGCTTTGTAGTTAATCTTGATACACTAAATTAAGAGTGTGTTTGAGAGAAATTTTTGAGGGATTTTAATCAAAATTATAGCCGTTAGAGTCAACATGTGGGCTCCACCTATGAGAGAGAAGATCAAAAATGGTGGCTGATTTGATAGTTAATGGCTATATTTTTTTATTAAAATCCCGATTAAAATTTCTCCCAAACAGGGATTAAAATGGAAACGAGTTCATGGTACCAAATATGCCTTTAATTGTGTAGTTTTGAGAAAATTGGACTATTGATTCCTTACCTATTATCATAATAGTAAGTTAGTACTTTATGAAGCAAGATTTGTTCCCAACATTTGCTAGTGCTAGAAATTTGTAAGATATATTTTCACGAGACTTGGAAGAGAGTTTTGAACACTGTCCTTGAAGAGAAAAACAGAGATATGGACATATTTAGTACTAAATCCCATTAATCTCCTTGATTTTATTGATGTTTTCTGCATATAAACATATAAACATTGTCATCCCCCACTGTCTAAAGCTTTGATAGTATATATTCCATCAAATACTCTCTATGATTAAACAGTAATCTAAACTTAAAATCAAAGAGAAACCATTTAAATGTATATTATGGGATCAAGACCACTAAGTAATGTACTACTATAAGGAAATTCGGAAAATCCATGTTTCGGCAGAGCTGAGTCGGGCTTCAGGTTCACATCATGGTGCAGCTCGAGGGGTTCTCATTGCTGAACATTGAGTACTCTTCAACACGTTCGCCAGGAGGAGGGTACGGGTAAGAAGGGTAGGGTGGCATGTAGTTGACAGCAGGTGCAGGCCTAGCATACATCATGGGTTGAAACCTTTCATTCCCATTGGCACGTTGTTGGTTCATCATCATTGCAGCCAATTGTTGCTGGTAGTAGGGGTTCGCGGCCATTTGCTCGGGGGCAACACCTTGGACATTGACAGCACCATCATTCATGGGCAGAGCAGGTAGGCCTCGGACAGCTGCAGGGTTACCCATTTGGCCCATCGGCATTTGACCCATCTGTCCCATCGGCATCTGACCCATCTGGCTCATTTGACCCATTGGCATTTGACCCATCTGGCCCATGGGGGCACTCCTCATCTGCCCCACACTACCTCCAGCATTCATAGCCATCATGTTTGGCATGCCTTGAGGCCCATCATTCATTCCACCCCCTTTCTTGGCCCCATTAGCATTCATATTGTGACCATTAGCACCACCACCACCATTGTTACCGTTCTTCATCTGCCCACTGCCACTTCCACCACCGTTGTTGGCCTGTGGCTGACCGCCTCCATTCTTTCCACCTCCCTGATTTTGGTTACCACCGTTATTTTTACCATTACCACCTTTATTGCCACCATTATTACCACCACCATTGACCATAACGGGCACATTTCCACCCCCACCAATTTTTCCATTCCCACCCGCATTTCCTCCATTGACACCACCATTAGCACCACCCTTCATCAGCAGAGGGTTCTGCCAGCCCATCATGTTAGGCATCGGTGCACCTCCAAGGCCATTGCCCAGCGTTGTCTTATTCATAGGCATATCCTCCATTCCATCATCAAACTCATCATCATCCTCATCATCATCCTCGTCATCAAATTCATCTAACTCATCATCAGTCATGTCGTCCTCCAAACCGCTGAATTTGCCAGATTTTGGGTTTTGATCCTTGGGCATTTTCAAGTCCTTCATAAACTGAGGCGGCATTTTCAGATCTTGAAACCCTTTCAATTGTTGAAGCTGCTGAAGTTGTTGAAGTTGTGGATTTTGACCTCCCTGTGGACCACCTTTTGGCTGGTTATTGCCACCCTTTTGAACCTGAACCTGCTGCCCCTTGTTATTCCCACCTTTTCCATTATCGATTTGCAGGTTCTTGAATTGATTATTAAGCTGATTATTATTATTATTTGCCTTCGGTGCACCCCAAATTTCTGCATGTTTCCCTTTCTTGGAAAGCTTCTTGATCAGTGTTTCAGGATCAACATTTCCAGACACCGTAACCTTTCCCTGCTCTGAATCTATCGTTGTCTTGTAAACCCCTGCCGAAAGAAATTGCAAAAATTGAGTCAACATCACAGAAATACAAATCTATTACATACATATAAACATAAACTTATTTACACAAATTCATCTCTCCCGTCATTTCATTTCGGGTTAACAAGATGTGAAAGCCCCTTTATTTTTATGAGAATGGTGATTTTGAGGTTTGAATTAACAGATTAATTATAGGCAAGACTGTTAAAAAAGAAGAGAGTCTAGAAGCAACTAAAAAAATTGAGATTGAAATAAAATCATACCATCAATCTTTTGCAAGATTTTCTTCACTTTGTGCTTGCAACCTTCACAGTGTATATGGACTTTAAGAACACAAGTCTGCATAAACAAGCAAAGACACAGAATAACACATGTTAAAGTTTGCAACTTTATCAAACAAAATCAAAAAATAAAACACAAACCCAAAAAACAACAATACAAACAAAAAAATACAAGGATTTCCACGAATAAATCTATCCAATTGAAAAATGTCTGTTGCAGAGAAAGAAAAAGAAAGAGAAAAGTTAAGAAAGAGACAAACAGCAAAGGGACATGGCATTCAAAGATCTTGAGTTCAGAAGAAGCAAAGCCCATAAAGCAAAACTGAATAGAACGCCCCGCCCCATTCCCGCCTTTTGCAGAAACATAATTTACATACATTGATATACAAATGAACAAAAGAACAAGTACCTGGATTTTCAAGAACTCTTCTTTACTCATTTTAACCAGTCAAAAAGGAACAAACAGAAGCAAACAATAATGCAATGGGATAATTAGAGGGCTGTTTCTTGATTAGATCTGAGAGAAAACACAGAGGGAGTTAAAATTGAAACAACATTAAAAACAGGAAAAAAGAATTGGCTCTTTTCTTCCATTTTCTTTTCTTGAAAACATATATCAGAGAATAAAATGAGAGAAAGTTGGGGGCGGTTGATGAAAACCTCTCTGGTAGGTGACTCTTGTTTCCTCTATTTCAGAGTAAGAGAGAGAGAGAGAGAGAGGTTACTGCTCTAAACAAAGTTCAGACTGGCACACTCTCATTCTGGGTTTTTGAAGCATTATTTATGGGGGTATCTTTTGCTTGATACTCTTTTTTTTCAAAACTTAACAGAGGATAATCACTCATAAGCCAATTTTACAAATTCTTTTTTCTCATTTTTGGCTTGAGGGATTTTCATTTCTTGGCTTGGCTTTATATAGGGCTAGGCTTACCTGGGGGTAGGGGGTAGGGATGGGGTGGGTGGTTGGGGGTTTACAGTAGCCATGGACCATGGTTAAATTGAACAAATCTGTTCATTACATGAAAATTTATTACCGCCAGATTTGACGAGTTTTTGCAAGATTTTTTCCCACTACTCACGTACTCACTGTCTTCTGCATATGAATTAGGCAGCATATTATCATATTACAATTACACCCTTTATCTGTAATTAATTGACCTCAAAACTTTTAATTTCTTTCAGTTACACCCCTATGCTTAGTAACAAATAGTATAACTTGTAGATTTCTTTGAAAATCTATGCAGATTATGAATAAATATGGAATTACATTAATATTTGAAATTTTCTAATTTGACCAGCTGAGATTTTGTAAATTTTTTTGGGTCAGAGATTTTAAATACAGATTTTGTTTATTTCTATTCTTGAATGAGGAAAATTATAATAAATTCGATATGCTCCTTCTATCGCTCTGAGGGCATACGTCATTATTGTTTTCTTTTTCCTCCAAGAAAATGAGATTTTTATTCTCACACTAGCATTTTTCTAATTTTCATAACAATTTATATTGGCACATTCTAAATATGCGATAATTTTATATTTTGGTTTATGAAAATGGAAGGAAACAAGAAGAAATCACAATCACAACTTCGATTGTATGTATAACTTGTTGTGTACGTTATTTCCCTATTTCAGAAGCGAATTAGATTGAGAGAGGTTTAAGCACAATAAAATTTGTTTTGAAAACAAGACTTTAAAGATCAAATACGATATAGTTAAAACACGATATGCAACCAAAATAGAGTTTTAATCAAAAGTTTAACTCGTGATATTGGTTATATCTCATAACGTTCTGCATTTAATCCTGTGTTCTCAAGCTCCTTTTTCATATTAATCTTTTAATATCTCTTTTGCTCAACGCCCGTTGCAATAAATAACTCTTTATGTGTTGGTGTTTTTTTTTTTTACCTACTGAATTGTTGACTTGTCTTATATTTTTCTGGACGCAACAATAATTGTAACAATATAAAAAACATTAATTTGTTTTCAAGGTAATATTGTGATGGATAATGATATTGTAATCTCATAATCACATGCCAATTATGTAACACAAACCAAATTTCTATATAAACAAGAGTGAAGAGTCAACCCCTATTAAATTTTTTTTTATTGATATTAAATTTAAGTTAAAAACGCAACAAAAGAAAAGTCAGTTTCAGATAAATGTCACATACAAAACAATTTTCCACCATGCCACGATTTAATTTTTATCATTCTATATCATGGATAATGATTATTTTCGTAGCTCTTGAAATCCTTGTGGACCCTACTCGTTTGGCTTCCGAATGCGTGAAACATGCACGCACTATATGCATACGGGCAAAATATAACTTTCAGAATGTACGAGCCAAATCAGTTCTCTCTCGATACATTCCTAGTAAAAATCAATTAGCACAAACTAAATCCACTTGTTCAACTTGAGCAAGATATTGGTTCTTCGAGTGATTTTCATGAATATATTATTTTGTTTACTAAATTATACAAATATTAACTTGAATATTTCATGATGTGAGTGGCATTAGGCTTTCTTTGTGTACTAATTAAATTCAATAAAGCAAAATAATTAGATGAAAATAATCAATTATTACAGATAAAAATTTTTACCTACTAATAGTTTGCTTACGTTGTATGCATAAATGCTCATGAGAAAACCCCTTAATGTTCTCTGTCTTTTATTTCAGGCTTTACGCCTGCTTTCTCTTCCTACTGTAACTGAAAATGCATGAATTTCACGCACTAAGTTGGACATATTCTCCTACATTAGATTGGATATGACTAAACACGACTCACGCGTCAAAATCTGACAAGTTTTAGTTGAATTTAAAAGCACATTTGATTCTCCCAACGTTAGACTGTATGTGACTAGACATGATGGGCATGTGAAGATCTGACAAATTTAGTTGAATTTTAAAGTAAGTTTGACTTACTTTTAATTTACATATTTTGTCCCTTACCATATTCAAATAAATTTTTTAATAGCAAGACTTACATGGTCGATATCAACTAAATTCTTTTTGTCATTATTAAATTGAAATCTTTGTCAATAGAAAAAAGTTAATCGTGTTAGAGAAAGTCGCATGACCTCAAAATTCTATAAGATATAAAAGTCCCTTTAATTTTATTTTTTTACTTGAAACATCGGGTTTTCATCAAATTGAAACCAACGAAAACGGTTAGAGTTTATAGATAGATCCTGACCTTTTTTCAAAAGGAAAATAACAATACAAAATTGTTACTAAGGAAATGTTCAAGCTAACCTCCAACATAGAAAAATTTTAAAATCCAATGAAAAAGGGCTGATTTAAGTACATAGCGGATAATTATATAAGTATCAGAGTTTATTAAAATATGAGTTTTCACAATTGTAATTTAATAAAGGAAAATAATTAGGTTAATATAATTAATTATTACATACATTTTTTTTAATAATGCTATTTATAATGAAGACTACAATAATCGCCTTACGATACATATGACAGTTTGTTATGTGATACATTAATATGATAGTTTTTTTATTACTTCATACATCAAATAACAAACTGTATCAAAGTGTATTTGTTGCTTGCAGGGGGTATACGAGGATCAAGATCATGTATTGGTCTTGGGGGATGTTGCCCAACAAATTGTGTAGAATGTTTAACCTTACTGGGAATCCAGTGCATGCAGACTCGGGGATGGAAGAAGCGGGTAGAAACTTGGTTCCGAAGAGCAAAACAAACATCAGATAAAGTTACTTTGGTGGGTATTATTCCTAGTATAATTTGTTGGCATTTATAGTTGTGGCGTTGTTCAGCCAAGGTGGAGGGAAATATGGAATCTATAGAAGCTACTTGGAGGAAGATAAAATATTTGATCTATTGGGTAGGGTTGAAGCTTAAAGAAGCGAAAATGTTAAACACAAGAGATGAATGGGTGCTGAGGTAGTGAAATGGTAAAGACCACTGGTGGGTTGGTATAGGCAATCCTGGAATTTCTGGTGCTGGAGGTATTATTTGAAATGAGAAGGGCGATATTGTAATAGTCTTTGCCGATTATAAGAAAAAAGTTCAAAGTAGTGGAACGGTAAAGACCACTGATGGGGTGGTACAAAATCAATACTGATGAGTGTTGTATAGGCAATCCTGGAATTTCTGGTGCTGGAGGTATTATTTGAAATGAGAAGGGCGATATTTTCATAGTCTTTACTGAGAAACTTGGTGAGTGTACTAATAATAGTGCTGAGCTATTGGCATTACTGCATGGGCTCCACCGTGCTAAAAGGATGGGGATTAATCGTCTAGAAGTGGAGCTAGATTCTTTGATTATCGCTAATTGGTTAAGGAGGAAGGTTCGTGGTATTTTGTATTTGAAGGACTATTAAGAAGAAATACAATATATGTTGTCTATAATCTCATGTAGGGTCCAACACATATATCGTGAGGGTAACTTGGTAGTCGATAGCTTATCGAAGCTGGGTGCGTCTAGTCACCGATTTCGATGGACTCTTAACACAATCCCATCGTCATTTACGTGAGCTTTGCGTATGGATAAACTGGGCATCCCTAGTTTACGATGTTTTTCTCCTCTTAGTTTGACTTTAAATCTTCCAATGTTGTTTTAAATTATAAGCAGTTCGGTTCGCTTTGATTTTGATTTTGATTATGTTTTTCTATAACTACAGTATTCATTGGCCATAAGTAAAGGTTCGTTAATAAAATTTTTGGAGGCTCGTATTAATAATAATAATAAAAAAAACTGTTACATATGACAGTTACCGACAATTCTCACTATAAATAGCATTGGGATGGTTATCGACAGTTGTCACTATAAATAGCATTACTCAATTTTTTAATTGACAACTAGTTTCCTTAAACTTGCTTAAATGCTCATGAGAAATACCTTAATCATTAATTATAACTCTTCATATGTTGTTTTTACCTACTGAATTGTTGACTTATCTTATTTTGTCCATATGCGACACTAATCGCAATAATGTAACAATATGTTTATAACGTAATATTGTAATCGATAACGATAACTGTATTCTTATAATCACATCCATATTAAGTAACACTAACCAAATTTCTATATAAGCAAGAGTCGACCCCAATTAAATTTTTTTATTGGTATTAACCTTAAGTTTTTGTCAATAGAAAAACTTTAATCGTGATAGATACAAAGAAAGTCGCATAATAAAATCAAAGACTATTTTTTTTAATGAAAGCTTTAATTCTTGAAAATTCTTTTACATGCAAAAAGGTTTTTCATTTTTTTTTTTAAATTTTTGAACATAAACGTAGTTTCCGTGAAATTGGTACCAATATAAAAGGTTGGAGTTTAGGCACAGATGTGTGCAATATAATATTCGTCACAAAAACAGATAAAAAATCCAACAAAAGAAAAATCAGTTTTAGGTAACTTTTTGTCATTCCACATTATGGATATTGATAATTTGTTCGTAGC